CCATATCAGAACTCGTCGGTGTAAACAAGGGAGGTTGATTTTCTGTTCGGTACACTATCGTTACTAACAATTGGATGTGCTCACCATCTTTATGAGCGAAGTCTCCTAGATAAAGGCCTGGTGACTCTTTCCTCTAATAAAAGGCCTAGTGACTCTTCGGATCTCAAGGAGGATCAGACTGCAAGAAAAGGTGGATATTATCAATGGATCTTTTTTTTCTAAGGATATATAAGTGATAGAGGCTCCTAAATTGTTAGCGGTTGGATACGTTCTGTAGCAAAGAGGAACCGTTATCCCCCAATGAGTCACAAACCCTGCTGGGTAGCGGTCATAATATAACAACAATAAATGAACTGAACTTTCATCTTTTCATAATAAAGGCGCTTTCATCGGTCTCTATCACTGCACTAACTTTTTGTCACCCTACTTTACCAAATCGTTTTTTCGGATAAAACATACTGGAGAGTCAAAACTACATACCTTTAACACCGAACTGATTTCTCCTTCGGGGTTATATTTCGTAGGTCTTGCTTTCTGGGTCCACTTACCACCTCTTATCAGTTGTTAACAGTTCAATCCCGTCATATCCCACATGTCACATGTCTTCCTACCACCTACCATAGATGATCCCATCTTCCCGCCTGTACTCTAACCAAATTTCAACGCTCTAGATCTGCGGGGACAGGAGCACAGTAAGGATTTTCGGACTCCGGCGCATCGTTCAAAAACCGATTGTTTCTAGCTCCTCAATGGCTTTACAAAAAGCAAATTCAGTCAAGCGAATGAAGCTTTGAAACACTGGTCTTTTCTTCCATGTCCTCAAAGGTTACACAAGGGCAGCAGTTATCTTAGAAACACCATAGGCCGACCCTTATGCTCGGTCCAATGGAAAGCGAGGACGTGAAGTATGAAGTCCGATTAACGCCCATCGAGTTCCGCAAGGACAGGACGAAGATTCTTTTGGAAACACCCTCTCATGATTGTTGACTGTGAGGAATGTCTAGATAAGCGTAACATTGAACGGCGCAAATCCTCGACACGATGAGTATTGGTTCTAAAGCCGTTCTTCCAGTTCTTTCGTTCAAGCATCCATGCTGTTTCGACGGCTCTTGCAGAATTCCCTTTTGGGAGGCGGTTCTCGTCAATGTTCAATGTCAAGCGCTAATCGCCCATTACGTTACCCGGATAAGTCACGATGACGCCATTATTCACAAAATTCAGCGCAGGACGATTCACTTTCGCTTTGACCACTCTTTTCGTTGTCGCCTTGCCGCTGCATGAACGGCTCGACAACCGGCACCGCTATTTTTCCTGTGACCTCATTTACAGCGGTGGGGGATCACGCCGCATCTCATCACACCCACACATGACATCTCAGCCAATGCAAACACCTTTATCTTGTGAATCATCAATTACTGTTTTGCTGGCGGTAATAGCTTTTGAACCCATTGACTAATAAAGTTATTCCTTGTTTCAGATTTGGCGATCCCTTTTTCATTGAGACTGTCCTTGAAGGACTGGTACATATTTTCTCTTATTCCATCCCACCCTGCGCATTCCGTTTGTCTAGAATTCGAACGCTGGGATGCATGTCTGTTATCCGTCTAAAGCAAAGATGAACAAACTATACATACAAATTATGTGGCCCCATTCTATGGTCTCTTGTTAAAACATGGTTTTGGGAAATCCTCATACAAATCAAGCCGATTCGCCTAAAGGTAGAAGTAGTCTAAGAGTTCAATCACCTCGCAGTAGGATTGTCTTGAATACGTAGGACTGTTTTTTTAGGATTGCATGATCCTCCCACTAAAAACACCACTATAATATAATAATTCCATCATCGATCTCACAGAAGGTGTGGATGGAGATGAGGACGTGCTATTATAGTAAGTAACGTCGCCGCAAATGTAGTTTAGTGTTTAAAATTCAGATATGCACCTTTCTTGTGAGCAAGCTTTCCCTCACCATTATTGGAGTTTTTGAATCAGCGTAGTTTGTAAGAGCCTTGTCAGGAAGGCTCTAATTTGCACGTATATCTTCGCTCTTCAAGTCATATGAACGACCACTCTTCGTAGGCGCAGCTCGGAAAAATTCCAAATGAGAGTTGATTGTGAGAGCTCAAAACTTTGTCTTCTCTTAATGGTTCGAAAAGTCGCTACTAGGAATCCTCCTAGTCGCAGGTCGTACAAGGTGCATAAGAGCTATGTTTTCAAGATCCAAAGACGCAGAGAAAGTCTGAACGCTGAAACACACACACCATGCCTAGAAGATGGCACTTATCTACTACACCTGTAAATATTGCCTTCCACTTTCTCTAGAGTTTGTACCCAGTATTTTAGATAGTTCCCACATTTTATTTTTCAGGATTCTCGCTATTAATACTTCGCTCAGTCCAATAACTCCTTCAAATTGAACTAGAAATGAACATTTAACTGGCTCTCTTCTCATTCTGGCAAATTCATAATACTCGGTTGACACTTGGGATTGCTCCTTTCGACTAAGGAAAGTAGTAATGAAAAGCCGATCTTTTACAGTACAAATTTATACCGGACGAGATCGGTCGTTGCAATTACATTGAATTTCCGTTACATGTAGTCGATTGGGTGGAAAGGGTGTGTGTCATGAGGCGCTGCCACCTCTTAACAAACCCCGTTGGTATCTGCTTGGGCTCACACCTCCTATACGCAGAGGCGTAAATAGCAGTGAATTGAGGCCAAAATTAAAGGACTACTGACAGGTCTCCGCCCATATGATTTCCTCAATGCTCGACGGGTTCTTTTTTTTGTGAGAACAATTGGCTTTTGTTGTTCAATGTACTTATTCGTCGCTAAGCATTGGAAACGGAGCACCATTGAGTATTGCTGGATGTTGAACTGCCAGAGCAGGTGGTTGGGTATTCGATTTTCTATGATCAAGGTACTTCATCACCTGCATACCATTGCATCTTTACTGCTATGAAGCACAGTTCAACATATCAACAGCTGATGGCCAGACGCAGTTTTTTTAGTGCCCTAAAGTACTTTTTTCGGTGTTTATTGATTCATCATACACTCATGGATGGTCCAACATTCTTTGCATTCACTTAGCTATCATAAACACAGAACTCTTCTTCTTCTCTCTCTTTCGCCATCGCTTCATATTCTCCACCTACTTCTCCTTTGTAGCCCCACCCCATTTCGATCACTGCAGCTACTTCTCTATTAAAACGGTTTCCATCCTTCTTTGCCATCCCATTTCTTGCAACCCGCCTGCTTGACTTCAGTACCTTTTACCCCATGTATGCTTTTGTTCTGCTCTTTACAGTAACATCGTAATGGGAAGATTACTCTTCCTAACTTCGCGCATGAAGGTCGAAACACTCGAAACGGTGAAAACCAAGAGATTTATGGTGTCGTCCACTGACTACAGTGCAGATACCAAACGAAGTGAAGAGTGCTGATTCAAATAGGCCTCTTAGAGTGTCAGCTAGTAGAATAATTGTTTTTTTACTCCATGATTTTAACAAGAACAAATCGAAAGGAAGTGTGTTTCACACCTATGCACATGGTCTTTATTGCCCATCGTTACCAGTGAATGACCTCTAAAAGAACTCTGGGAAACTTTTATGTTCCAAAGGTCTTATTGGCAGGCTAGTGGCTGTTGTTCAAAGCCTTTTGGTTCATTCTTTTCAACACTCACTTGTTCACCTCGCTGAATTGCGCTCGTCCCGTAGGGAGAATTACTGAAAGTCTTTTAAACAACTAGTTATAATATTCAGTTAGCTGACTAAATAGTGAACTTAGTGACATGAATCTGGATGAAAGCCAGAAATGTTATGACTTTTGGTAAACAAAACAAAGTTGAATTTGTCCAATGGTTTTTGAGTAGTGGTGCTCATCAATTGACACAGGATTTCGAAATGACGGCTCATAATGTATAATATCTGCACTGGCATCTTCTAAATTCTTCACAACAATCCTGTATTCCCTCATGGTTGATTAGATGACAGCAAGTCTCTCTAGAAGGATAAAGCATAAAGGTTTTGGGCGTTTACCAATCCCGTCCGAGTGATGCGCCCTGCATTCCACTTCCATTCAGGATCGTAGTGGCCTAATGAATGCGTATGTGGATTATACAATGACTTGCGGTGGCCAGCCGATGTACAAGTCAGTGCTTTTATCCTCCCGGACGAGTCTGGAACCAATTAACCGATCACGGAAAAACGGAAGGTTTGGTTGGCCCAGGGAGATATCGGTCCGGTATTCGAACCCGCGACCATGATTGTGTGAAGGGTGCCACTTGTCACTGCACCACCTCCGCCCGCAAGTCTCTCCTAATGAAGCAAAAACTGAATTGCACAAATGAGAAAAGTGAAATATTTAAAATAAAGGAGAAGGGTAATGTACAGAACTCATTCAGTGCCTTCTTCAAACAAATTATTTGTTTTCGCTGACCCCCGCCCCCCTCCCTTAGCCCCCCGGGAATCGAGGTTGTTCACATTAATTTTTTTTCTCAAAAGAGAGAGAAAGAAGCTGGTCACATTGTGAATGTTGAATACTACTCTGTCACTTTTAGTGAACCGCCTAAACAGCTCTTTCGAGGCATCACTGGTGTAGGGAAGATCCGCTTTTCAGCGGGTGAAATTGACACAGCAGCGGCGTCGGAGGATCTGATATCTGAACAGGTCAATCGCACCGCGAACAAGACTGATTCTCAAAGCTTTCTTTTGGTGTTCGAGCTATGAATCAACTGATTCCTTTTATGGGCATCTGCGTCCTCCATAGACTCAGTTTCCATGGGAAAAGGCAGGAGGCTTTTGTAGTTCGAAGGAGGGTAGCCGCGCTGTAGGGATACATCCTACTCTATCGTCAATCTGCCTGCTGCTTTTATTATATTGCACTTTCTCTTGAATCCCTCTGTGGTAATCTTGTGTGGTCTACTAATAAGTAAAAAGTATTTGAGCGCAATCCTTTTGTCATATCTCTTCATTTCTGTTGAATACTATTCATATTACAGGTGGGATGCCCCAGAATGTCATAGAAATCTTCTCATATCTCGCGGTACTCTATGTGGCAAACGGCCAACGCCGGGTCATCCCGATGGAGCGCCCACCGAATCTGTTGCAGGAGACGGATCTGTTGTTCCCAGATTCTCATGACTCCACTGAATGGCCTCCTTTTACCACAACTACAAAATCTACACAGAAGTCTCCATCGCCCCCGAAATGGGATCAAGCCCAGTCATTCTTTCCTTTCCTCAAAAATAACGAGGACATCAATGTCTTTACCACTCAACCACCGCTGTTCTTCACACCTTTACCACCCATTACTGCTCAACCTTCAGTTTTCTCATCACCAGTTCCTCCCGTAGCTCAGCTGCCAGCCTTTCCTTCACCAACTTTTGATGCTCAACCTCCAGTGTTTCCAAATGCACCTCCTTTCCCTCAACCACCGCTTCTTCCACCGCCACCTCCTCCATTTCCTATTCTACCACCTCCACCCCCGCCTCCCATGATGTCCCCTCTCACCCCTCCATCAGCTTTTGCAAGGGGGCCAAAAATAAACCCGAAACTGACTACTATAAAACCAATCGTGATCGATCCGGAAGCTATTATGAGCGTGGTCAGTTTGCAATTCTCTCTTTGTTACCTTGTTAGCAATACCATGAAAAAAAAAACTCATTTTCAGCCTGAAATCATTCGGCATTGGGGTTATCCAGTGGAGGAGCATCGCGTGGTAACAGCTGATGGATATATCCTTATGCTGCACCGCATCCCACATGGAAAGGGTGAGCTCCGTAATATGTCACCTATAATAAGAACTCAAATTTCTTGATGAATTCATTGAATTCATTTTTGTTTCACCAATTTCGCTCGAATTCTGCCCACACATTTCTTCTTTCACATAGTATAGGTGTTCTACTCGGCAGTTACGATCAGGAACTATCGAGATCTTTTTGTATAGCTTAAGTTCTGCACATGCTAAGGTTCAGTTTTAAGCAATGATATTTAGGTCACCACCTTTATGATTGTGGTGCTCACGAAAATCTGAGAGCTATGTCTAGAAGCAACTAGTTCTGCTGTACGGTTAGGAGAAGGAAATTACGTCCGATTCAGTTGATGGAAAACTTAAACTCGGGCAAATTCCCCGCAATGTGGAAGGAACAGGATGTCAGAGTTCCCATTTTAATTAGGCCCGCCTTTGAGGGATAAGAAGGATAAAGTGTAAAGAAGACAGATAATGAGTTCTGGCGCTAATCAACCTGCGTGAGAGATGCGATTCCCGCTTCCCACTTCTACTAAGAATCTTGGAGGCACACCCTGACAAGACAGGTGCCCACCAAGCGAGCCCGGATAAATGAAAGGTTTTGGCCTGGGGGTATGTCTTGCCAGGGTACACCACATTAGCCCGAATTCGTCAAAATTACTCTTGATTGTTATAAATGGAATTATTTATAAAGAAGTATTTGTTTTACTTAATTTTTTTTTTGTAACGCAAT